TATGACATACAAGTGAAGTATAATAAAAAATAAGCAATGATTACCTCTTATTATACTACTAGATAAAATAAAAAATAAAAAAAAAACCGGCTAAGTTTGACCAAAAAACTTATTTTGAACATTTGGCTAGCTGTTACGATGCCAACTCAAGCTGCTTGGATCATCATCATGCCTTTGAATTAAGATAAAACTACATGAAAAACTATAATGACATAAATTAATCAAAGATCATATAAAATAATGCACACTATACCACAAGAAAGACAAGGGATTGGCATAATGAGTGTCACATGCACTACTTTTGAGGATTAAGTTTGGAATAAATTGCACAATTTACCCCACATGATTGGGGATGAATGCACTTTACTTACAAAATTATGCATTGTTCTCATGTATTTTGAGAAATAGGCGCCTAACCCGGCAATGAAAAAGGTGAAAAATACCCTCTTTATTTCCTTTATTTCTCTTTTTTTTTTTAGCATTTAAGGGTATTTTTTACTTTTCATCTATAATTTAATTGCCTAAAAGGTAAAATACACATTTCTTACACCATATAGAGGTAAATTTTTTTGGACCTAGGAAAAATTTGGGGATAGGAGAGTAGTGTTTGGGTTCTTGACTCCTTCCTCATAGGGGGGTGGATACTAGAACACACACCATATAGAGGTAAATATATCTTGTGTGGTTAAGGACTAAAATGCATCCACTCCAAAGCATAGCGGGCTAATAAGTGCAGTTTGCCCTTAATTTTGAGTGGGCATTTGAGTATTTTGCCAAATTCTCATTTTCAAAATTTAATACCCCTTTTGGTTTTAGGTTTTCCATTGGAAGATGAAACTTTGAGTGGAATGCAATGGACCACCCGCTTTATAATAACCTCTCAATAAGAGAGAGAAATGAGATTTTTTTTAAAAAAAAAAACTCTTTTTTGCCCTTTTTTTGACTTCCTCAACTTAATGTCACTCTCATTCCCCCACCCAATTTGGCAGATTACCTGCCGAAGGAAATAATAACAGTATTTCATTTCATCAATATTTTAAGTGGGATTTTAATTCATTTTCTTTATAGGAATTCGACCCACCGACCCTTTTACTTTACACCGAATCTTCAACGACCTAATTGGATGTTTTTGTGATGTATGTATTTATATTTTTTCAAAGATTTTGTAAGTAGTTAACAATTTAAATAATTAAGTGATAATTTTTTTTATTAAAAATAAAAAATTTTGAGTTTGAATCGCATAATATGTGAGTGGACTAAGATAAAAAATAAAAAATAATTATTTCTTATTGTGCAACTAAAAAAAAAGATTTTGTAAATAGTTTAATTCTTACATTACTCAATCTTATTGATTGATTTTTCATTTATAGAAACATATTTTTTTTTGAACAGGGGGGAATGTGAAGGGGGAAGAGAGGGGTTGCACACTGCAGTTTTGAACTTTGACTGAAACCATGAATTTAAGTGTACCGATCAAAGTAGTCGAAACTGCGGATGCATTTATAGAAACATATTATACAACTTAAATTACATTAAATTATATAATATAAATCTTTTCAATGTCGAGCAGCTCTCTTTTCATATTATTTTGATTTTATAATTTAAAGTTTTTTTAATCTAATATGTTAAGAGTATAAATTAAAAATATTTTTATTATATATATAATATAAAAATTGATATTAATTATAAAATTGATATTAAATAAATAAGTTTAATTAAATAATTAATAAATTAAAGATTAAAATTTTTAAATATAAATTTATAAAAATATATATTTATTACATTCTTTAACAAATTTTATAATTTAATGTAATTTAAAGTGTAAAATTATGAACCCTGTCATTAAATATTAGTCAAAATATTACAAACACTAAAATTTTTACATCTATTATTATTGTTACAGAACTGAGTCCGCAAAATTTATTGGTTCCATCTTTCTTGTATGTGTCCTTCACTCCTTTCCCTTT